GCAAGGTAGCGCAATGGAAGAAGATAAAGACAGTTCCTCAAAGCAACCAAGCCTGTTCTGCGACCAGTAGGATCGGCAAGGGAAAACATCTTGAACCTGATATAAGAAAGCAGATGGCACTGTCATTGATATATAGTACTAACTCTTGAATAGTAATGCTATTAGTGGTAAAATGCATTGTATAGCCAATTTACTTGAATGTGTAGTAGATCGAAGATGTCACTTCTTTTGTAAGATTTTATAAATTGTTCAATTATCGTTATTTTAAATACAAATAAGATTCTGAACGGAATGTCGAATGCATAAATGCGCCTGTCTTGCAAGGTTTTGAAATGTTTTTTTACTGTGTGAGTTTATTCGGGTATAGTGCAGACACATACCCTCCATCCGCATAATCTTGGCGACATAAGTACGCAAGGGCCATAAAATGAGGTAATTGCCAAAAATACAGAGCAGCAGGAAGTATCATTGAGTTAAGTGAGATCTCGCCCGAAGCTGCAGCCCACCTTGTAAAGAAGAAAAGAATTAACTGTCAGCATCTCTATTAAATTGATAATTAGAGAAGGACAAGATAATTTGCAAGTAAAAGAGACATTTAAATCAAGCCAATCATCTAAAATAGAACAGTATAAAACAACACAATCAGATTGTTTTAATATGAAAAATAATCATACGAGAAACTTTTACATAATAACGACAATATGAGGTGCTGCTGGATATGGCATGACAGTAGAAAATTACCCAAGTAGAGGTGGGATTGCACCAACTATAGCCCCAACCCAAGTATTTACTGGATGTATTTGCTTTAACGGAGTATAGACAAACGCGTATAGGACAAGATTGGAAGCTGCAAGGCCAGCTGCCAGCATATTAGCCTGCAAACACCTTGTCATAAAAATTGCAACATCAATCCCCTTACCAATATGTCAACAATGAAAAAAATATCTAATACAACATGTTAGGAGATAATGACCACCTCGCTAGCCAACAGAGCAGTCCCAGCTACACCCATCGATGATGCCCAGACAGCTGCATGAGGTATCGTAATACGGCCTGATGGTAGCGGTCTATTTCTGGTCCTATTCATCCTTGCATCATTTTTTACCTCAAACACCTAGTGCACGAAAAAATTGGAAAATATGATAAGTTTTAGCATAAAAAGAGGGTGAACAAACGCTATATGTAATGGAACATGGCACCTTGAAGGACAAAAAGGCTATATTTGGAAACATTTTGGAGCTTATCTTCATTTCGTTTTCGGGAAAATTGTTGGGGGAAGAATTTGAAAATGAAAGTCGTGTTTGTTTATGTTTTGGGAGGAGACACAAAATACAGTCAAATCATGTCTAAAGACGTTGGAGAAAAAAATGAAAACGAAAACGCTACCAAACATTGCCGAATCATTATCAATAATCATCAGTCTATATACTGTATGTGTGAGAAATTTGATTCATTCTCTGAAAGACTTAAAAGTCGGAAAAATAGCGGGCAATTCATGTTCTATTTTTATGAGAATTTGCATATATAACTTTACTTTTTATACCCCAATTTCTGCTGGAATCAAATCTAAATAAGATACTATTTAAATATCTAGTTACATTACATCATCTGTTTCCGATTGTTTTGACCTAATTTACTATTTAGTCTATTCATAACCAATTAATTTAAATCATAGAATTGATGGAAAATATCTTACACCTTTTCCATCACCAAGGTTAATTTACTAATGATAGAATGAAAATAAGTGAGAAGATTTGTGTGTACTAAAAAAGGTCAATCTTTATCATCATCATTTTCTAAAGTATTCCTTATTGTACTACATTTTGTTTATTCAGTAACCATATGCAATAAGCATTTTCAATTCATCGAAGTAGCATAACAAATAAGAAGCAATCGAGATTTGAAGCTGCTTCAAATGCCACTTTCTTTTGCTTCTTCTTAACCCTCAAAAGTTCGATTTTCTAAGAACATAGTAATGTATTCCATTATCAAACAGCTCGTAGTAAAAACATTCAACCACTATGATAGCGGCTACAGTGAATCAATTTTCCACTGGCAAATGATCAAAATAAATACCTACTTGATTGCATGTCGTATTAGCAACTTATAAAAGAAAGAGTTGATCCCCGACACATTAATCACATAATTTCCCGAGGCACTTGCTTATAGTTCTTGATTATTCACGATTAAAGAAAATCAATAGGGCATAGTATTTTGAGCGATTTCACAATTGCAGAATAAAGTCGATGAAGATCTATGATAGAGAGAAAGGATGGATAGCGAATCAAAGAACAGAACCCTTTAACAATGTGATTAAGCTCCCTAAGAAGTTAAGTGTCTTAAACAAAAGATTCTTTAAGATAAATCTCCGACCGCATCAGACTAAGTAATATATAAGGTGATCCAAGATAAACAACTTACATACTAAAAAGTAAATTTACAATCGAACAATAAGAGAGCACGAATACCTGGTTTAAGGTGCTAGCTGAAGCTGCAACCATCATGGTGCCAGCACATGTGCAGCAAAGGCCAAGGTAATCAATGGCACCACCACTCCCGAGGATATATCCAGTCCCGGAAGTCGCAACAACTAGCATGCTGAATATAAATAATGGTTAATTATTCAAATACACGATTCTTAAATTCTTCATTCGCTTCCCTTTTTACATTTTGATTATCCTAAAAAATTATCATACCCTAAACCAAAAATTCAAACTCAAACGGTGGAACAAAATACTGTAATTACAACGGATTCATCACAAATACATATATACAGCGATGGAAAAAAAATTGCAAACCTTAATTTAGCTTTGGAGAGCTCCCAATAGCATTGGCCATAGTGCTTCGCCAAGTCGGCGGCTTCCTTAGCCTTGAGCGCCGCGGCCGACGGCAAGTCAAAGGCGCTCGCCGGCGATGCAAGAGGCCCGATGTACGGAACTTGGGCCCCGGCTCGGGCCCAGGTCACGGGATCTGCGGCGGATGTGGATTCCGGGCTGGTGAAATTGGATCGAGCGAGGAAACCATGGTGGTGGAAATTAGGGGAACTGCGGGGGAAGAGAAGAAGGGAGAGGTTCGAGTTGGGGGCGGCGAGTTTGGATGAGAGACTCAGTGAGTTTCTTCGCCACATGGCCGGGTCAGGTGAGCGAGTTTTCACTGAAGAGATGATGGGAAAATGGGGACGATAATCCGACGAAACGAAGAGAGAGAGAGAGAGAGCAATATTCTTTTTTTCCTTTTTCCTTTTTTTTTTTTATTTTTTTTTTATTTTTGGAGAGAGAATGCTAAGTTGACATGTAGGTGATGAAAAGCGGCCCAGTATTTGGGCTTTTAGGTGACGTGTCGATAATACTCCATTTTATTGCTATGAGGTCCAATGTTGTAATGGGCAGAATATGGGCCAGGATCGTGTGATTTTTTATTGTTTTAATAATTATTATTATTTTTTTAATTGTGATTTTTCTTTTGTTTGAATATTACTTTAAAATATGATAATAAATGTAATGTTCCAATTTCAAAAAAAATATAAAATTGAAATAATCATATATTAATTTTTAATTATTTAGGAATCAAATTATATTTATCTTGCTACTATAAAATTAATTGAACATGAAGGATAGTTAATAATTTTGTCAAATATTTATTTACAGACTTGAGCTTTATTTGGCACAAATTTGAATCTTATCAAACAAATATGTTATTAACTCATGCTATTTAACATGATAGTAGCAACCAACATAGAACAAATTTATAAAAAATTAATACTAGATCTAGTACAACAAAATCGAATATTTATCAACTAGCTAGTTAATCTAATCCATTTTAATTGTGTGTTGACTGTTGGCAAGAAAATTCGAACATGGATCAATTGACACATGCTCACTTGCTTCAAGCGTTTACCTGGTGATCTGATAGTTGTCTTGGTTCGTTAGTGCTCTACTTGGTCCTCTTGTCTCCTAGAAGCTACCTCGGCTGACGGCTATGACAGCTTATAAAGCACTAGAATTTGTTCGGACCGGGATTATGCATGGTTGGAATAAGGTGGTTATATTGGAACATGATTCAAGCATACTTGTAGCTATTATTGGGGGAGAGATGAGTTCGCAATCGAATTATGGGAACATCACTTTGATCACGACACACAAAGTTTAGAATCTTTCGAAGTTTGTCATGTCAAGAAAGAAGTCAATCGTGCAACTCATGAAATAGCTAGACCTAGACATGTTCATGGGCCGGATTTGGGCCCGGAACCGGCTCGTTGACGACCCGGGACCCGTGAACCGGTCCGTCGTCCTCGGGACATGCCCGATTCTATGAAATGGTGAACCGTGAACCGCCGGGCCGGGCCGGCGGTTCACCCGGATTTAAAAAAAAAAAAAAATTCAAAAAAAAAGCAAATAACGGCGCTCGAACCGGCCCCGAGTGAACCGGCCGTTATTTTTTTTTTTGAACCCCCCCCCCCCCTTTTTTCCTATAAATACCCTCGAACCGGCCCGTTGACGACCCGGCCCAACCCGTTGACCGGTGAACCGCCCCGTCGTCCCCGGGACGGGCCCGGTTCTATGAAATGGTGAACCGTGAACCGTGCATATTACGGGCCGGTTCCGGAAAAAGTGAACCGTGAACCGTTATGAATCG